GCAGCTGCCATCTACTTCCTGCAGCTAAGCTAAGCTACCCAAACCCATCTCCATGCATGAGGTGGTTTTGTCAGGCTGCTTCTCCTGTATGGAAGCAAAGGTGTCCCAGTTTTCTTATTGAAAAAGATAAAAGTTTTTAATTTATCACATTAATAATGCAAACAGTATTTACATTTTCTTCTCCAATTAATTAAAATAATAAATAAACTAACTAATTTTGAAAATATGTCCCTTCAAAAATTGACCAAAATTTTTTTTTCAAAATATCAAATTTGAAAATATACATTTAATAGCAGAAATAATTCTTTATTTCAAATTTAAGCTGAACTTTTTATATATCAACCAAAACTGTATTCCTTTCAGATTGTGTTTTAAGATCACAATTCCCTTCTTAGGGCGGGCTTTCCTCTGGAGTGAGGAGTGATGACGTGTTTCTATTGGTCTGCGGGGAGCTTAGCAACAACATTTTTACTGTAAAACAGCAAAGACTTTTATTTAAAAGAGTAAAATTAGAAAATACAAAAGCTGTAAAAAAAAATTAAGAAATAACTGAATAACAAAAATTTTAAACATAAAATATGAAAAAATGTGAAAAAGTATAAGAAGCTTATAATAAGAAAATAGCAAACTGTCAAATAGTATAACCAACTTGAAAACTAAAATGTATTAAGAAAAAAGTATTTTTTTTTTCATTTTCAAGTCAGAGCTGCATTTTTGAACTCAAATAAAATTACTAATAACTCAGAAATGCTCTTCATCCTCCACTTTAAGACTGGTTGCTATGGAGGACAAATTTGTACATAATCAAAAATAAATCCAGACTTAATATCGATAACCCATTTCAATCAGGAAATTGGGACACATCTGCTTCCGTACATGAACAATAAAATTCCTAACAGATAAATAAAAGGAAAAAACAGCAATCAAAGTCCAAAGATTCCAAAAAAATGTATTTATAGCTTCAGAAAACTTAAAGCCCTACTGATTAGGACTGATTAAAACAATTTTAAAGGACTTTCTGTCAGCTGACTGAAAAAGAATCAATAAAGAAAATGGAGACGACTTTTTAGAACCAGACCTTGTACATGTGTCTAAACTGATCATATATACGGAGGCCCTGAAGTGCAAACTGCAACTACAAATCTAAAAGCGCAA